CAAGTGATGGTTTATTTTTTATATGAAAAATTTGTAATTTATTCAAATGTAATTATAAGTATTTATTTTAATTCTTATATTTGTTTCATTTTTATTATTTGACCGTTTATTTGTTACTATTATTTTCTATTTGTTTATTTGTTTACTAGCATTTATTATTCAAACTTGGAAAATGTTCATACGATTTGCATTATAAATAATCCGTTTTTTTTTTGTATATTTTGAAGTTTAATATGCTTATAATATACTTTAAGAAATGCGTTAAATTTGTTGAGTGGTTATTGAAGCATTTATTATTTATTATTTAGAAAGGCTTATATATTGTAAGCATCTTGAAAGATCATGCTAAAACTTATTTTTTAACATTTTCTTTTTGATATAGTTTTTTATATACATATGTCTTTTAATAAGATTTTATCTGGATGTAAGTGTTAGCCAAAATTTTGTTCAGCAGTTTCTTTTTTTTAAATTGTCGCTTACAGTAAAAAATTTTAGTTCGAAATCGAAAACAATAAATGAGATGATTCATTCATTCCAAGCCAATGATCACTCCAAAAGATTAATCATTTTTCTAAGGGTATGTTTTTGCAAAGTAGCTTTTATTTGACTTTAAATCATTTAAAATTACGACAAAAATTTTCTTTTTTTCCTGGGTTTTGAAATTTTGACAAATTAGCAGTTCATATGCGACGCTGAATCTTAAAAATAAATTTGAATTTTGACTAAAACATATTGAGAAATATGTTATTGATTCAATCCAAAAAAAAAAAATGCAAAAAATGAAATACCGAAATGAACAAGAAATGTCTGATCATATTTCAGGAGAAAATTTATGCATTAGATGTTAGAAATAGCCTAGAAAGTGGAAATTTGCTTCAGCTTATTGCCCTTACTACTATTAATAAACCGATAAGTTTGAATTTAAATGTTTCAATATTTCATTTGGCCAAATTTATCGCAAAAAGAAAAGTTTGGTAGTGGCAGTATTTCGAAGTTATACCACTTACTTTTAACTGTGTATAAATCAATATGTTATATATAGTTTAATCAAATTTTCATTTCAATTCAAAAATTTTGACCCATGGGAATCTTTTTTTGCTGCCAAATAATATTCTAACAAAAGGTTACTGTTAGTTAATTTATACATAAAGCAGTAAAAATGTTTTAATGAGAAATATAAATTAGAAAATTTATTGAAATTTCTGAAATTTTAGTAATTTAAGATGAATGTTCAAGAGAAAGGAAGGGAAAATCTTCAGGTATATTAGGTGTGGAAGATGTCCATCCACTTCGTTACATACAAATGGCACAAATAAATGAAATCTTCGGTGAGCAATCAATTGAAATCCCTTCGGAAGTACAAATTATTCAACATTCATATTGGGTAATTTTTCCTAAAGCTATATTTTGCTGCCAATATATGTCATTTTAAATTTTTTGAAAAAATGGCAAAAAAAAAGCATTTTAGGATAAAGGTAACAAAATGGATGATAATGTTGATTACGGTGGTTGTCCGGTGATGGCAAAGGCCCGGCAAGTTGCAATGAAAGATGAACTATGAACTGTTCATTCATGTTTTAGATAAAATACGAATCAATTAATTAATTTGAAAAACAAATTTCTTGAAACTTTTTATTCCGCATTCAATAAATATCTTTTTAAAATTCAAAAAATGATATTTCAACTTTTTGTGAAGTTGAAATTTTACATTCTCTATCCATTTATTTTAATGATGGTAAAGTGAGGGAAGTATTTAGCTTATAATGCAATCTTTTGTCTTAGCTATTTTGAAATTACATTTAAATATAAATTAGAAATTTGTTGTAATTTATTTCACCGATTTAATCTTTTATATTTATTACCATTTTTGCCTAAATTCTAATAATTATATTACTGTCCTATCTTTTGAATTTGCATAATATAACTAATTTTGTTCAGTATGAAATTTAGCTTAAAATTCTAATTTTTGCTTTGATTTTGTAGAATTCATATGAAAATATCAAATTAAAATAGTAGCTAACAAGACAACTGTAATTTTTCGTAATTTTTTAAATTTCAAATCCTTATATAATGTTTATTTATTTTAATATATTGATGCTAAAATAAGCTTAATCAAATTTATCAAAATAGTAATATAAAAAAATGTCATTAACAATTTTTTTATCACTCCTTTGATAAATTTGAAATTTAATCAGTAA